AGTGAATAGTGTCTGAGACAATCTTAGAGGGACGGAGGGAGTACTAATGTTCAAACCACGAATCTATCAAGACAGTGAATCTCAATGGAGTTCAACCTGGGTCTATCGAATAATGGAGAGCTCATATATGTTATGCTCATGAGAAAAATTGACCAACTATCTTGATTGCATAATGAGACCCACCTAATCATTAGTCGGATGAGTGAATGTTTTTGGAGGTAAGGGTTACATAATCGACAAAAATATTGACCAATTATCTTAGTTACATAACGTGACTTCCTTTCAAATTTCAACGCATGTAATTCCAACATCATTTCATTTTCCATAATGATAAATAAAAAAAGACATTTTTTAGCTCAAGTAGACATATATCTATCAAAAGATATTTTACACATGATCAGTTATATGCTATCATGTATAGGGTTAGTTCAAGGATTAATGAGAGATTAAAAGCAAGGTAGCTCAAGGTGTCATGTACACGGTGCACATGTGGAATGAGAAAGACACATAAAAACAAATCATTCACATTTATCTCTCTTTAATTTCTTTCCAATGTTTTATATAATTTTGGTAACTTTTTTCACAACAATGTCAATCACACTGTCTACATCTGAACATTCGTATTGACATTGTGAATAAGAACTAATAACAATTATATATTGTAAGACCTTTCAAAAAGTGGAGGAAATATATTGCTCATTAATATTCATGTATCTATCTGACGAGCACTTTGTCACGGTGCGTCAAAATAATATTCGATACTAGCACTTACACGTAGTATAGGTGAAGTAGAGTTTGTATCCACGTAGAAAGGAATAATTCTCTTTTTAGTAAAACTAGTAAATAAGGGGGGTTTTGGGATTGAGTGATTTAATTTAATTAAATACGAAGATGAACGACTTATATGAGATTTAATTCAAAGATAAAAAGGACTTGACATTGATACTTTCCACTTGTTGATATATTTTGGTCAATCAATGTTATATTTATAACTTATCCCCTCTCGAATACTCAATCGAAGAGTATATCCAATTCATCGAGGGTAGTTATTAACAACGACCGTTCATTAATAACCCTTACTATTAGTCAAGTATGGAACACCGCCATATACCGACTTGATAGTAGCATTTAATTTCTTAACTCCTCGATGAAATCAATTGAGATTGATAACCTCAACACAACGGTTTCGGTTTAACCAACAAAATTAATCCCTATTAAGTTTATTAACCACAACCGTGCATTAATAAACTGAAGTTACTTACTTGTGAAACCATCAAAGATTAACAAACGTATTCGTCGATCGATTCTAGTAATAATTAATATATGAAACAAAACTAGTCGATCATTTGAGTAATGTTCAAAATATTAATATGAAATATGAATAGGAATTAATTAATATTCAAGGAAGAATATTAAAGATGACAAATCCTACTATAACTAATGTCAAGATGTTAACTAATTGTTATCTTAGCAACACTCCCCAACATTAATATATAGAGGAAGAAAATAAATACTATTATAACTAATGTCGAGATGTTAACTAATTGTCATCTTAGCAACACTCCCCAACATTAATATATAGCAAGTAAATGAATACTACTATAACTAATGTCGAGATGTTAACTAATTGTCATCTTAGCAACACTCCCCAACATTAATATATAGATAGATTAAGGGAAGAATTAATATTCAAGGGAAGAAGTTAAGAAAATAACTCACAACTTTAATAATCAACAAGCTTCAAGAGCAACACCAAGAAATGGAAGTTTAGCTCCTAATTTGGAGACTAAACATGCTATAAAAATATAAAACAAATACTATTCTAAACTGAGCTTAAGAGTATGGAAGAAGGAATGATTATTTGTGAAGGAAAAGTGTGCTATTTATAGGTGTTTTTCAACACCTTGGGTCGGGTACCCGACCGGGTCCAGTGCCCACCCGACCGGGTCCAGTGCCCACCTGATCGGGTGCATGTCAAAATCAGATAGTCTTCCACGTTCTTGTGTTTCAGGCTTTCAGCACGTCGTTTTGTCCCGGGTCACATCTGACCTGACCGGGTCAAGTAGTGGACCCGACCGGGTCCAGTGATTTTCCAGGCACTTTCGCTTCTTAAATCGTACCCGACCGGGTGAGTATTCCTACCCGACCGGGTAAGTGTCCCTGGGCAGCATTCCTCTTGTTTTTCCTCCTTTTCCTTGCCAAAAACTCTACCACTACTTTACAACTTATAAATGGAAGCTAAAAACAATTACAAACCAAATAAAACAAATCTTTTTAAACTAATAAAAATGGTAAACAATACACACAAATCAAACATAAAAATAGTGCATATCACTATCTCTCCCGCCACATGTGCACTATGCACATTGTGATATTGGAGATGTTTCAAGATTATTTGCAACCCAAAGCGTGAAAATTCAAAATTTGATGTATTCGCCCCAAACGTGCTTCAACTTAGTTTTAAAATATGTTAATGACTCATGAGTGGCCCAAAGCAGGTTGAAGCACCATGGGGAAATAGCTACCCGTATTCACCCAAGAGAGAGGCCATATTCGACAGACAACTGCCACGTGCAGGATAGAAATGCCGCAAGGCCCAACCAAAATAAAAATATTGGCTTTCTTTAAAATATTATAACTTTTTAGTTATACGGCAATTTTTACAAAAACCATATAAAAAGGTAAAAAAAAAATATAATCTTTCGTATGATATCAACATTAGATATATAGTTAAAAAAATATGATATTTCAACTGCTGGAATTTTTCATTCCCAACATTTTCCTTATACAGACCCAAATTTTCTTAAAATATTTTTTACATCTTTCAGTTGTTTGTTAAATATGTTGAAGTAACAACAGTGAAAATAAGTTCTAATTTTATTTTTGTTTATATCATAGTGTTTGACGTTTAAAATCATAATTATTAGAAAATGTGACGAAAAATAATGTATAATAATAAAGCAAGGCTTTGATTAAAAAAATTTATTTGAATAATTAAAAAAGTTTACTTGGTAAATATATTGATGGCTCTGAATTGCAGAAAAATTTTATATTGACCGAGTGAATACATATAAAATGATGGATAATTTGATTTATAGACGAAATGTGTTGCGTTTAGCCAGAAATCATGATTTACAAAGATGTTTCTCATAACTTTAATAGTTTTTGTTTACCATTAAAATAAATAAATTTCCTATTTTGTAGAAATTTCAGGCGACCAACCAAGGAAAGAAATAATTCCGAATATATAACCAAAATGAAAATAATGCACAAAAATGTGACTCAATAATGCATAGTGACTATAAAACTTACTCGTAGTAGATTGTATTCATATTTTTGCTTATAAACTTTTTATTAGTATTTTTAGGAAACAACTTCCATGAAAATACTTCACACGGCACTATCGTTGCATTTCATTCACATTAATTTTATTCTTACATTATATATACTAGTACATTTTTTTTTAATTTTACTTGGAAAAATTGTGTATGATCCACTTTCATTTTACCTACAAAATAGCATTATAAAATCAAAATTTGGACATATCACATATGGTTATTTATGTACCCCGAATTTCTTTCTTTAAAAAAATGTACTCCCTATGTCTTTTCTTATGTCAAAGATAATTACACATGAGAAAATCACACTTTTAATTCTTCGAATAGTAACGATATGAAAATGTAATCCCCGTGCTTCAAAGTATTATGTAAATATAATCACTCAAAGCCCGTTTGGTAGTACGAAAATCGGCTGTTTTGGTTGGTTCGGCTGAGATTTATGAAGTTCTGGGTGAAGTGGCTGCATTGACTAATTCTTCTGATTTAAGAATTTTTTTTTTAAATATACTTTGTATTTCATTAATAAAATAAAGATAAAATTATATGTAAAAATAGCTAAAATGGTCATCTACAGTAACTTCAGCCAATACAGCCAGAAAAGTAACTCCAACCTCACCTTTTCTGCTTATCACACAATTCAGCGCGCGAAAGCAAAGATTACGTGTTTGGTTAAAAAGTTGGCTAATAAGCTTGATAAGCTGAAAAACAGTGTTGCCAAACGTCCACTCAATTGTTCAAATTGATGTAAATATAGTCACCACTCACATTGTACATTCCAGCCATTAAAATATTACATTCACAATAAATTGGACAATTGATGGGTAATATTTATAAACTTGGAATCAGGAAAATTATATTTTGATACTATTTGAGGAACTAAAATTGCGATGCCGTGAAATTTTAATCAAGTTACAGAGTATTTTTTTTGTTTGTTTTTGAAAATAGTTACGGAGCACTATGTACTATCCTCGATATCACATTAGTTGCAACATTACAAATTACACACTATTCATGTACTCTACTTTGACTACATTTTATTTATTAATGTATGCAAATTATATTTTTTTGAAAAATTTTGTTGAATTCATCTCATTATAAAGTTTTATAATCTGATTTTTAATTATTTCTTACTAATACAAACTTAAATATAATGACGATTAAAAATGTGCATTGCAGCTAAAAAGCGAATGTCTCAACTACTCCGTAAAAACTTAAAAAGGAAAGGAGAACGGAGGAAGTATTACTCTTCCAAAAAATAAGTTACTACGGAGTGATGACGCCAAAACCGGGAAAGCCAGCGGGCGAGGAATCGTGGCCTACTTCGCCGCTCCTTTCCGTTAGACTATCTCTCTACTTTTTCGCGCAACGAAGTCGTGGCCCAGAGTTTGTTGAATTTGATTTTTGAGAGGGAAAGCATGAATTCAACACAGAGTGATAATAATGCTTAAATGAACAGAAGAAGGAAGGAATGAAAGAACAAAAACGATTAGAAGCTTTAGTCTTCGATTAGATTCCTTCTCTTCCAGTAATGTTATCCCAATGCATTTCTTGTAAGTCTTCCTTCCTCATTTTCCGATTTCTATTCCTTAAACTGCCCTTGTTTCCAGCACCCAAATTTTCAGGTCATTCAACTTCCATTGTTTGTTCAACTACTTTTTGTTCTACTGGCGATTTTCCATTGACATAAAATGGTGTTTTTTTGCATTCTTTTCCTTTAAAGCAAAAGTTTACCTTATGCTGCTTTTACATACCTTTTATGCGATCCTGATTGTACCGTAGCTACTAGATGCTAAAATTGCTTATCTCTTTTGCTTATATGCAGTGTTTTTTCCCTCTTTGTTTGAGGTCCCCCCTTTCTTGCCATTTATTGCTCTGGTTATTGCACCTCCCATTTATTTGAACTGATTGAGCACTGTGGGGATAATTTGAAGCTCCTTTAAGCAAATTTTGCTTTCCATGGACTATGCTATTTGTTTATTGGGAAGGACTTGGCCTGTAGAAGAGACTGTATATTATAGTATTTTTTGTTATTTTGAGAAAACTTCCCTCTTTATTGTCCCATCAACCCTTGCTAGATCACTACACTTTTGTTCCGTTTTTCTCAATTTTTTCCTACTATTTGTGCACAACTACCAATTTCTCATCACGCTTGGTTCTTCCTGTCACTTATCCGGACCAGCCCAACCCAACTCAATCAGGAACTGTCACCAAACTCATCATTTTGTTTTATCATTTGCAATGGAGCCAAAGTTTACCTATTTTTGGCTTTGGGAATATGATGGAATAAAGCAAAATGACTCTCTTAACTGTCTGCCCTTCTTTGTTATGAAGCAGCAGTCAGTCCATGCAATTTTCGACGCAATTTTTACCATGGGTCATCCGGAAACAGTCTCCTGTGCTTTAGTACAGGGGTAAGGTTGCGTACATCCGACCCCCCCTACCCCACCGTAGGTGGGAGCCTTTGCGGTACTGGGGTAATGATGATGAATGAAAAAGTGATTGTAAGGACCAAGGAGCAAAAGGAAAAAACTAGGAGAAAAAAACCAATACGCATGCACCAAAATTTGGAAAAATTAAAGCCTGGGGAAAAATGAGATGACCTAATACTCTGATACCAAAAATGGATAAGTTTCTTATTGTAATTGCTGATGAGTCTTCATACAAAAAGGAGTTTTTTGCTCAATTTGAACTACTTGGTTCCATTTATCATAGATTGTGTAGGCTGTTCCAAAACAGTATCATATGCTTTTATGTCTTTTTAGTTTTTATGGCTGTAAAAATATACTCCGTAATTATTAAGCTCTTCATTCACTGGCAGGCTTTAATGCTGTCTTTCTTGTTTATATTCACGTTTGTACTTCTTGATCAAGTTTCGTATCTGTGGGTTTGCTTTCATTGTAGTAGATATTTTTCTTCTTATGGCTGTTTTTAAGTATTCACATCAAAATTGTCATATAGCACTCTTTGCTATGCAGGAACAGTTGATTGTGACCTAATTCATAGCAGTATAGCACATGATAAGGAGAAGTTTTCCTATTGAGAATTGATTTTTAAGTGTAGGTTTTCTTCATAAAAAAAAGTAAAAAACCTCTTGAAAATCCACTATTTGAATATTATCTACTTTGTGTTGGATTGAAGAATGGGAGACCATTTTGTATTACTGGTAGACCGGTTGCTCACTGAATCCACGCTAGAAGCTGCTATACAGTGTGGAAACTCATTGCAGGATCCTTCGAGCCCTTTTGGAGATAAGAGAACTGACTTTAGTTCCCATAAGATGGAAATTAATGTAAATTCATCTCCAGCAGAATTAGTACAGTGTAGGATTTGCCATGAGGAAGATGAAGACTCTAACATGGACATACCCTGCTCTTGCCTTGGAAGCCTCAAGGTTTGTTGTGATTTTCCTCAAACCATTTGCTACAGAAACATGAAATTGTTTGAAAATTTCAATAGCAAATCATGAGAGTATATCTGTATATGATTAAACTAATTAATTCACCACAGGGTATCAAAGCTCTATTTTGTTTAATTCTATGACCTAATCTAGGTTTTGTCTGGAGTCTTTAGTTTCTCTTTATTCTCTCTTTTATAAGGAAATTAAATTTCTAAAATGCATGTTGCTAGGCATATTGGATCATATCCTTAGTTCTTACGTGAGTGATCTCAAAAACAGAGTGAAAGGCAAAAATTGTACTACCAAATTTTGACTCGCATTGTACAGAAATTAGTCCATCCACCCTAACTATCGTAATGTTTGACTTTTCATGCCCTTTTTATGTCTAACTTTGAATCATAATCATTTACTATTATATACTAGTACAATTAAAACTTATAAGTAATTAAAATTTAAAGTGCAAACTATCATATGGGAAAGTAATACCGAGTATGAGTTTTCATAATAATTTATCGAAGTTAAAATATTACTGACTTTAAAGTCGATTTATGAAATAAGTTTATGAGGGAGTATATTTATGATGCCTCCCGGACAGTGGGTTAAGTGGTTGAGCTATCCAAGTTAAAGTCCTGTCCTTGCTCCACTGACCGCCTCACTTGCAAAGCCTAGAGGGTGCCATCGGGTTTGTTCGTCAAACTCTTTTCCTTTCTAGAAGCTGTAATTGAGACTATACCGATGGCTGCCCGTCCTGCCCTAACTAGAGCTTCTTAAAAGAACGTAAGATTGCCTTGTGTGTTCAGTTTATATTGTTGGAATGTGAAATTATATTAGAAATATTGTTTATCTAATTTTGTAGGAAAATGGAATATAAGTTTTATTTTGTAGGAAAATGGAATACAAGTTTTGAACTTAAGTTACAACAACACTACGTTGTAGTAATGAATAGTCATATTCTTGTAAATAAGTTTTATTTTAGTAATATTCTTGTAAAAAACCTATATAAAAAAGCAACTTAAGAATACTTTTAAACCTAAGATAAACAGATTACCTAACATTGCATCACCACTTAAGAATGTTTTTACTTGGACTGTAATTTGTTGGTCTGGTCTGGTCTGGTAATGTATGGTCTCTTTGTATTTTTATAACTATCCAAGTCTGGTCTGGTCTGATCTGGTCTGGGACGGATTACAGTCCAAGTAAAAACATCCTTAAGTGGCGTTATGATTATATTGCCATGGCAATACGATAACTGGGATAAGGTAATATACCACTGTCAGACTTGCATTACACAAGTAATAATGTGAGATAACTTTAATCAAACACCTTAGAATAATGACCTTCAAAATAAAGAATTGTGTATATCTTTGTATGTAAATTTACATTGGAATAGGACACAAATAACAGTAATAGGAGCATAGAAAAGCATACTTGGCAAAGTAAACTATTGACTCTTCATAACACACTTAGTATATGATCATTGTGCTCTTGAAACTGTGGAAATGATCATCTGCATAATTTTTTATTAGTAAAATGACCATATTTTGTGGATTTAGGCACATTGATATCTTTATGCTTGTAGATCAGATCTTGCTCTTAATGTGTTTTTCTCCTCTGCAGTATGCTCACCATGAATGTGTTCAAAAGTGGTGTAATGAGAAGGGTGATAATATCTGTGAAATTTGCTGCCAGGTGCGTTTGTATTTTGCATTAGTTTGGCACAACTGCGCTTTTTCTTAGTATTTTGTTAGTTTTACATTTGGCATTCGTTTGACTTAACTTACATTTCTTAGCATTTTGCTTGTTGTTTTTCATAGAGTTCATAATTCATAATTAGATTGGAGTCAGTGAGTCACTCAACTGAGCTAATGAAAATTGAATCTAATTGATTAACTGGTCTAACACAAGGCCTAATAAAGCTGAGTCCCTCTCTATCTTTTGATGTGGGACTATTAACATGTTCAACCTTGCTATGTCTGTTGCCAAAGATCGGTCCTAATTTCTTTTCTTTGAACATGGATGCGGATTTGAAGCAATACAAGCCAAGTTATACTGCTCCGCCGCCTTTGCTGTATTATGGTGGGATCCCTTTGCACTTGAGGTACATATATATTTCGCTGATGTTTGTCTGTATGTGCGGGGAGGGTATACAAATTTGTGTTGGGCTGGGCTGAAGAGTTGGTGTGGGCTAAATGAACAAATAAAGTTCTCGTTAAGGAAAATGTTGCTCTAAGTTTCAGCCTGCCATAACTCTATTGTAGATCCACCCTTGTGTGTTGCATTGTGTTTGGATGCCAATTACCAACAAAGCTTTTCTGTTTCTAAGTTCTAATCATTTGGTTTCCTTAAACAGGGGTTTCAGAGGACATTGGGAGATTTCCAGAGAAGACCTTAGCAATCCTGAATTGTCTCCTACAGATCCCTACAATTTTATAAACCAACAAGATTCAGATGAGTATTCGGAACATGCTACTCAAAGCTTGATATGTTGTCGATTTGTCGCTATAATTGTAAGATCTCTCTCTCTCTCTCTATGCATATACGGAGTATATAGTAGTATTCTCCCATCAGGCCGGCCTGACGGGAACCGCCGTCAGGCCGAGGCCATTAGGGGTCCTTCCTTGTGGAATTTTTTGATGAAAGTTTTTGAGCATGTTCTTCATCAAGTGTAGATTATCTCCAAAAACATTCAACTTAAAATTCAATCGGGAAGTCAGTTAAATAAATTATTGAAACATACTGCACATTATTTTATATATATAAATATTCCTTTTCCCCGTCATCTTCTTTTTCTCGTTTTTTTATCCTTTTATCTTTATATATATAAATATTCTTTTTATCCCTTTTATTCTATCTTTTTTATGTATCTCCATCTCTTTTTATATTTTTTTTATTATCATAGCTTATCTTTTTATCTTTCTTTTCTTTCTTTTCCTTTTGGTGCTGATATCATGTATCGATTCATGTTAGCCGACCCCAAAATCTTTTGGGACTAAGGCTCAGATGTTGTTGTACTGCGCATTATTTATATACATAAAATGCACTATGTTTCAATATTTTATCTAACTGACTTCCCGGTTGAATTTTAAGTTGAAACTTTGTGGAGATAATCTACACTTGATGAAGAACATGCTCAAACAATTTCATCAAAAAATTCCACCGGGAAGTGCCCCAAATGGCCTCATCCTGACTGCGGTTCCTGTCAAGCTGGCCTGATATGAATTGACCTCTCTCTATATATATAATTAATGTTTAGAGTGTGAACCAACTTTATAAATTACCCTAAAATGTCTTCCCTTTCAAACTTTCCTTCTATTTTTCTCAATTTTCTTTGGTTAGCATTTCATGTGTTCGAAATAGATTCCAAGTAGGGTGTTTTTCCCATTATATGAAGGAATCTGACCAAACTTTCTGAGTTCAAAGAGGTAATCCATTTCATGTTGTACATGCAGTTTACAGTTCTTCTGATGGTTCGTCATACTCTACCCATTTTCATCAGTGTTGTAGGAGATGACTCTATGCCTTTGCTTGAAGTAAGTTCTGCACGGCTTTGATCTTTGGAAAGAACATTATGACAATTGATAAAAAAGGGTGTATCGAAATTTTGCAGGTACTTATGCTGAGTATTGGGATCGTGTTGCCAATATACATAATGGTGAAGGCTTTTATTGCAACCAGGAACAGAAGACGACAACATCAGGTCAGCCATTGTATTCTAATGCAATTATTAGGCACAGTTTGGTGTTTTTTTCTGTTTTTCGCTTTCTGCTTTTTTTTATTAAAAGCAAAGTTCTGAGAACCAGAAAAAGTTATTTCTCTGTTCTTTTGGCAATTTTCAAAAACAAACTGAAAACCATAAGTATACTCCCTTTTTAGCTCATTCCATAACATATACAGAGAGTATAATGTACCTTTTCAAATCCTAAAACAAATAAAAAAACTGAAACGCCAGTGATGTCGAACGAGCCCTAGTAAATGGTAACATAATTTGGATTCATTTGGTTGTCAGAAATAGATTACAAATCATGTTTCAGAGTGATGTGATATACCCCTCATCCCCAGGAATCACTCAAAACTCATAGCCTCATTTGGATTGGCGTGTGATTCTTGATAATTTCCTTATTTCCAAGAATAGGCTGTGATGCCATATTTGATTCAGAAAACCTGGATTGGCAGGAATTCCTTTTTGCAGTCAATTCCTAAAATCAAGAGCGTTACATGCCTCCAACACACAATGTGTTGAGTTATTCTCGTCATTGCAAACATGATTTGATCTTATTCCCATTGATTGAGTTTACATTAGTTCAATTCCATAAATGTAAACCAGTCCAAATGAGGCCATATTGTGAGGCACACTGCTCTGAGTTTAAGGAAGTCCAAAAAAGAATTTCCCAACTTCTGAGCTTTTCAAATCCAAACATGATAATCTCACCTAATTTCCTTTTTTACTGTTCTCACCTAATTTGCTTGAACAAGAAAATTCGCTGCAATCAATCCAGTTAAGGCTATGTTTAACTCAAAGAGGAAGATTGTTATGCTGAGCTTTTTGTGATGAGGTTTGTAGGATGTCCGAAGCAGCTCCGACAATGCAATGACAAACGAACCACCCCAACTGCAGCAGCCTCTGCCACACCTCATACATATTCATTGACGACAACTATCTTACAATTCTGCTTTGCCATGTGATTTATAGCCTTTATTTTTTAGGCAATGTACATATCTAAACGCTGTACAGACTCACATAGGCTGTATACACTATTTCTTTACAAGCATTAAAGTGAACTAGTGATATTCTTAATAGAATATTTGCTTGAGGAGTCTAATGACATATGCCGTTGTACCTCCAAATACTTGGACTCACTTCTCAAAAGTGCAATTTTTGAAAAGGGGGAATTTCGTCATAAGAATTCCCAGAAGGATGAGTGTGTTTATTTCTGGACGTCTGAGTAAGGAGTGTAAATGCCAAAATCATTTAAGGAAAGAATCCCTTAAAAATACGGAGTATGAATTCAGGCATGGACAGGTTCCGGTCTGACCGGCCCGGGAACCGGCCCGTCCCGAGGTGTTAGGGCGGGCGGTTCCAGGCTGCACTTCCTTTGGAACCGGCCCAGCAGGGCCCGGTCCGGGCCTATAATTTTTGTTTTGTTGTAGGCGGGTTGGGTGTTTTTTTTTTTTGGGGGGGGGGGGGGGGTTAATTAGAAAAGCAAAAAAAAAAAAAAAAAATGAACCGGCCCGGACTGGACCCGGTGGAATCCTGGGCCGGTTTCGGGCCTTCAACCAACAATAAAAAGCCCAGTTTGGACCGGCCCGGAGCCCGGCTCGACCCGGAACCGGTCCATGCCTAGTATGAAACACTTATTGCACTAATGTTCTTGATCTATTCGTTGTACTTTTCTGGACTGCTTTGGAACAAATAACTAGTTGAAATTAGGGTTGTAAACGAATCGAATCGAATACTTGACAATATTATTCGTATTCGTTTAACATTCAAATCTTATTTTATATTCGTATTCGATTCGTTTGGTATATTCGAATAGTTTTCGAATATTCGAATCTTATTCGAAAAACATTAAAGTTAAACTATGAAAATATTTGAAATTATATTGTATAGTTTGTCCTGGCAACGTGATAACATTTAAATTAAAATATGCAAAAACCTACTACTTTTTGTACATAAATATTATGTTATTAATATTTTTACATCCAATTATATTTATTTATAACGAGTAGTATATATATTGTATTGATAATATATATATAGATGTGTGTGTGTCTAATTTGAATATATTCGAATACTCTACGATCGAATACTATAGTATTTGTATTCGTATTCACAAACTATTCGAATAAAAAAACAGATATGTATTCGTATTCGTATTCGTATTCGTATTCGTATTCTAGTTACTCGAATTCGAATGCACATTTTCGAATATGAATCACGAATCGGATCAAAATTGTTCGATTCGTTTACCATCCTAGTTGAAATAAAATTTGTTTTCGTGAAGCAATGTTTTTTATGAACTAATTACTAAACAATACGTGACAAAAGAAACTTTTCTAAAACAAACTACTTTCTTAGAGTCCCGCTCCGTGTACACACCGGGTTACACGCCGGTCAAATTATCTGTGTACAGACAATTTGATCGGCGTTTTATAAAGAAAATCGGTTTCTAAACAGACAAAAATAAAAAAGTTGTTTGCGTCACATGTATTTTAGATGAGAATTTTCATAAAATGTTTGTGATACAGACAATTTTAAACGAGAATTTTAAAATGTCCGTGATACAAACAATTTTTTTTGTCTGTGTGAAAGTCAATATTCTTCATAAAACGCCGATCAAATTGTCTGTACACAGACAATTTGACTGGCGTGTAAGCCGGCGTGTAAAAGGTGGCATATACAAAGGGAATTTTCTATTTTCCTAAGATCAAACAAAGCTAAAGAACATATAAACCATTCTTAAAAGAACATATAGATCAACACCACATACAGTAGATCATCGTCATTATTAAACCATTAGTTAGTGTATAAAACATCAACCGATTCCATTTAACCGAAAACTGATATTGGTACCAAGTACATTTTTTTTACTAGAAATATTTGCACCAAGTACTATTTTCCATTCTTGATCATTTCTCTATTTTCAAGAATGGGGTGTGACCCCTTACATGCTTTCAGACTCCAACATACAATGAGTGGAATTATTCTAGTCATTTTAAACGTGATTTTATCTAATTCTCATTGATTCCATTTTCATTTGATCAGTTCTGAAAAATAAAATCAATCCAAATGGGAACTGGGAAGTGATAGGAGGCACCCAATGATCCCGGTTTAGGGAATTCTAAAAAAGAATTTCCTAACACGAGACTCACACCTAATTTCCTTGAACAGGAGAATTGGCTGGAATAAGAAGTCAGAAAAACTAGTGGTTGGACTTATATAATATGGAGTACGTAGTATATATGTGTGTGGGGGAGGAGAAAGAATAAGCAACGAAGTTGACACAGAGATCTAGCTCGGACGCAAGAAAAGTGAAGAGTAATTTGGGTTTATAAGCTAAATAATTTCCCATTATAATCATCCCCAGAGTTCAACTTAATCATAAAAATACTCAGAAGCAGTTAAAAGCTAAGTACATACCAGCTTCCAGTTTTTAGCTTTGAAGTGTTTTTTTAAACAGAAACACGCATTTGAAAACACTAACTTTAGTTTTTTTGAATGACAAAAACCGAAAAACACTTATTTGATTTCTTGCGAACACTTCCTAATACGTTCTGTGATTATACTATTCCAATATCACATAATGTTATTTGGGGGAGAGAGGTTCTTTTAAAATGGTTTTAAGAAATTGCGTAGTATGATTTTGATTATTCAATTTTCTTGTTAAAAGTTCTATTTGAATGGTTGATATTAATTTAATTAAAATGCTCCGTACTTTTATAGTACAACCAAAACAGTTCTAGCCACTAGAAAGCTCAATAACTAGACATAGCCATTCTAAAGGAAACAAAACCAATTATAAAGCACAACTAAAATCATGTAATAAGCAAACAACCAATTCTACAAAAACCAATGTAACCTATGAATCTATAATGGTAAATGACTGCTTATATATTCTATAATGATACTAAACATTAATATACGGGGTGCTATTGACAGAAGCAAACGGATGCTTATCTTAAAAGCAAAAGAGCAGATATGGATTTTGGAGGAAGTCATTATCAAGAACCTTTTGGACAGCACTTTTTTCCGTCCCATAAAAATGTTACGGATTACTTGATATCATTATATGTAAGAATTTTTGACAACCTAAAACGGAAACAAATTATTCTTACAGACATCTTATAGACATTTTATTTTTCTCAAAGTACAAAAACGAATGCATTCCATTGATTGGAGTAAGGTTGGAAATACGTTTTTTTTGGTTGGGGTTAGATTGGTTTGGTTCCATAAATCAAATCAAACAGATGTTCAGATCCATAACAATTAAGTCCTAACTGACCCAGAACTGAACTGAGTATTACAGGTTCCAATCATGTCTTTTGCTTCCCGGGGATCACAACCAAGCATCGTCTGCCATTTCTCCCCCAAGCCCCCAATGTCCCGGACGCAATAAACAAAAGGTCACAATTTCACAGACATAAGACTTTCGTATGTCTCATGGCCGTGATAGCATAGGTCAACAAAGAGACATTATAAAGCAAGACATAACATAAGGGGAAATCCAAATCATCATTACATAAAAATAATCCAAGGACATGTCCAGCCCAAACAAAGACACTCGAAACATAAATAAGGGAAAAACAGTGCGGGTATAGTTTCTAGGTAAAGGTGTAATTCAACTGCTTCGCCTTTGATGGTCTGTTTGGATGAAGGGTTATGCATGTGTTTGCAGAGGAGGCTGAGGGATTGATTCTGTCTATATCTAAGAAATACTCAAAACCCTTGAGTCTTCCAATGCGAATCCATCCATCCAAACAGAGCCAAAATGATATAAATCAGAGATATCACTCAAAGGATAGTTTTGCCCTTCCACCACATCTACCTAAAACTTTATGTGAACCAACCCTGCAGGTATAATTTAAAATAAAAAATGAACTAGAGTTAACCGAATCAAACAGGGATAAAACAGGAAACATATATTGTATAGAATATATGTCACTTAATTCATCATTCCTCCTCAGATTCAGACTCTGCACTTTGAAGCCAGTCAACAAAGGGTTTAGCATTTTTCCAGAGTGGAGAATCCATGCCCTCCTCCTTAAGACCCTCATTATACCACTTGACAATATTTTCTTCATCCAGAATATCACAATCATACAATGCTTTCAAAACCAAAGCGACTTCCTTCACCGCAGAAGAGGTAGATTTTCCACAGAATTCTCCAATTGCATTAAGCAAAAACAGTTGTGACCCTTTATTCAGAGAAACAGCAGCTGCAAGATAACTCCTCTTTTTCTCAACCACCTTTGCATACCCTTTGTCAACACCATCCAATAGGGATTCATACAGGGCATTCATTATTTCCTGAGGAGTGCCAGGAAGTGACTGCAAGAGAGATGAGAACTGGCTAGCAGTTATGCCTTTCTTCATGTTTTCCTTCAACTCCGCAACAAGCTTCTCATGTTCCTTGTTGACTTTCTTTGACTTTTTCTTCTCTGTGGTTTCATCATTTGTAGAAAGAATGACCATGTTGGCAGTTACACCAGTTAGCTGCTCCTGGATGCGTTGTCGTGCAGCCTCCATTGATGTGTCAGTTTGCCACATCACACCATCATCATCATCATCATCATCATCAACATGGTTACTAGGGTTTTTTTTAGGGCTAGTTTTTGCAGAAGAAGCATCCCTTGAATTGGAAGGAACCTTTTTCTTTGAGTCCTTCTTAAGCTTCTCATCGGCAGCCTCACCTTCCTTTATCCTCTCCTTCTCAGCCCTCCTCAACAACTTCTTATCCTTTGAACTTTTTTTGGCTTCAGGTGGGTTCTTGAGGATAAAAGAAGTGAGCTTATCCCTCATGTCCACATCAGAGATGAAACCACAGGCAGCACATTTCAGTTGGACCATCTGTGATTTAGTTATTAAGACCTCTGTTTCGGGGTTTCTACACCCATAGCACTGAACATACTTCTTGATGAAGTTTTCAAGCAGACCAGCTAGCTTTGCAGTGTCATGGGCCCCATTGACCAATGAAATTCCTGTTTTTTCATCAAATTTTGATTGTGCTCCAAGTTCACAACCAAAATATTTTGTGGTGTAGGATGCTGGCCTAGCCAAAGCCTTTGCGATGTCAACCATGTTGACAACATTAGTCTTGATGCCATTTCCACGGCCTTCTGTCTTGGTGATCATCCTCGGCATCTTGTACCTGTAGAAGGCATCATCTTTGTTGCTTGCTCCTATATTTTGCAGAGCCATGTTCACAAAGTTCGTAGTTTTATGAGGGGAAGTAGTAGGGATTTGATGAGGTGAAGCCTTCAAGCGGGTTGTCAGCAAAAAATGATTCAGGTATGCAATGCTCCTGAAATGGTATGAGATGTATGCATTCAATTTGATCAGAGAAATGGGAGTTCCTTTTCCTTGACTTGGGGCAATCTTCTTCGAGTGGCCCTATAGTACCAAAATATAGAATGGCTTGTTCAGACATAAAAAATAAACAAAGCTCCAGCTTCAACACACTGCAATGCTACGATTCGACCAAATGCAGACAGAGCCTGCAAAGTTTTATTACAAAAGTAGAGTGTTAATACACAGAAAGCATATAATATTTCTCTGAAAAACATATAAACAGATTAACATAGACATGTTTTAAATTTGGTATCAATCTTGTCTTGATCTTAATATTTCTCCCCTATTAAGATTACTATGTTTTGGGTTTCAGAGACATATATATGTTCCCAATGGAAGAAATTTATCTAACATGCCAGTTTAGATCACATTCACAAGAAAAGAATGTCAGATAGGATAAAAAGCAGGCATTTAAGGTATTACGTAGTATAAGGGAAAAAATCTTTAAATGCCAACTAAAGTTTTGATGAAGTCTCTTATTTGATGGTTTGATATAAGTTTTTATGGATTAAATGACCAGATTTGTAGTCATTTTTAATTTTATATTCATATAGTTAGTACTGGATTTCTAAAGTTTGTGTTATAATTGGTCCGAGGATGACAGTTGGTATTACTTAATCCCCCATACTGTAAATTTGGCATTACTAAATTCTCCGGATTGTAAATTTGGATTCACAAACTATCACATCCAATCTACCTAGAGCATTTAAAAAGATAACAGTTTGTAGACCAAAACTATTACTTATGATCCAACTAATAATAGGTCTCAGAAGAGCAAAAACTATGGACATTGACTCAAAAATCAATCAATTGATATCAGGATAAATCAACCTACAAATTCACAAAAACAAACATTTTTCTTAAATATAGATCATGGAGAAATACAGTTCATATTAAACACCCATTAATGAAAAAAAGTAAATTTAATTGGAGACGATTGTGATTGTCTTTAACTGGACAACATTTAAGATACACGGAGTAGTTCTTTTCTTGACATAACCAATCGATAAGTCAAAACATAACATCAGATCCGAATAATTGAGACACAGAAACGCCATCTCAATACAGTATACATCCAAAAAAGGCGAACCAAAGATGATTTTATAATCAATCGAATGATCGACCTGGCGATCAAACGTGAACAAAACCAACATCAAACATAATCAAAACGAAATTCCAAGAAAACGAAGATCAGAGGGGAAGGAGTTGCGTGATCGTAATAGAGACATTACCGATGAAGATCAGAAGCGCAGCCTTGCAGCAGAGAAAGAGGGAACGAGAGAAGGAAGGGGAGGGGTACAAAGGTTTATATAGTTGGTGGTGGGGGTGGGGAGAGGCGGCCAGGCGTTTTCTCTTTTTTTTTTTTTTTTTTTTTTTCTCTTTATGTAGGGTTTCCCAGAATCCGTGATCGGGTACACCTCCCAAATTCCACACGCTCATCATTGAATCGCACGTTAATTTTCTATATACTGCCTCCGTAACTTTGAAATCTTCCCATTTCAAAAGTAGGTAGATTAAGAATAGTGAAAAATGATATGAATTATTGAGGGTATGATATGAAAATTGTGGAATAATGTGGTGGAATGTAGAATAAATCCAAAAAAAGTAGTTGTAATAGTGTATTATTTTAAAAATTATTGAGGGTATGATGGGAAGATTTAGAAATGAGAAGATTTTTTTGTTACGGACGAAAAAGGAAAGTGGGAAGATTTTTAAGTTACGGAGGGAGTATTTTTTTGGTAAACTCGAGTTGTCCGGGACCCGTATGTCAGATTTAGGAATTGTCTAAAATACTTGGTATGAAGTTTGGTGATTTTAAAATTCCTATAATTTTCATGAAATAGGACTGAAAAATTTTTAAAATTTTAAAATAGGACTTTTTACTCCCAAAATAGGACTGATTATTGTCATGTTTTACAGTAACAGAGTTCAAACATGACAGTATTTTCCAAACTTGACAGTAATTACTCATATTTTGGGAATAAAAAAGATGACAGTCCTATTTTGGAATTTTCAAACTGTGTTAGTCCTATTTCGGGAACTTTCCTTAGAAAATTCATCCACATCCCTTAGAACTTCGTCAAGTTTCTTTTTTTTGTCCCACTAAAAATATTTTTACTTGAATTATAATTTGCTGGTTTGGTCTGGTCTGGTCTGAACTAGTCTGGTCTGATTTAGTAATGTCTGGTCTCTTTGTATTTTTATAAGCTTCCAAGTCTGATTTGGTCTGTTTTGGTCTGGTCTGATTTGGTCTGGGATAGATTACGGTCCAAGTAAAAACATCCTAACTTTGCAACTTTCTTTTTTATGTAAAGAATTTGTATTTCCGCTTAATTATCGCTCCTATGCACAAATCTGAATCACACGGTTTTTGATTTAATAATCCTCGTGCAGATCAAACTTGAATAAGTTTTAAGAGATAGAGGGAGTATAATTTTAATGAATGATATTTTTACTTGAATTTATTTCAGTCATAGATCAGATCAGATCAAATTTATAAAATGAACAAAGACTACACATGTACTAGACATAAAATGAACAGAGACCTTACCAGTTCAGTCCAAAACAGATCAAATCTGACTTAAATCGATCATATAAGATCATATCATAAAGGGAAAACTGTCAAATAGGTCCTCGAACTTTCATAAAAAGGTCAATTAAGTCCTTCTATAAGAGCTTCTGTCCGCCCGTCGCGATTTGGGGCAGTTTCCAGTGGAATTTTTTGATGAATTTTTTTTAACATCTTATTCACCAAGTCTAGTTTACTCATATCACATTTCAGCTAAAAATTTAATCGGGAGCGCATTCAAATTAATTCAAGAACGCAAAAATGTGCAGTTATCTTCAAGAATTAATTTGAATGTGTTCCCGATTGAATTTTTAGCTGAAATGTGATATGAGTAAACTAGACTTGGTGAATAAGATGCTAAAAAAATTTCATCAAAAAATTCCACTGGGAACTGCCCCAAATCGCGACGGCCGGACAGAACCTCCTATAGAAGGACTTAATTGATCTTTTTATGAAAGTTCGAGAACCTATTTGACAGTTTTCCCTATCATAAATTTTCAGTCCGAATAAACAAAGTTATGCTGATTTCATTATATTCAAGATGTCTCTAAGCAAGACTTTTGTTTAGTTTTCAATAGCTTTTTATGAATTTTCAAAAAATGGCGATTTTCATTGTTTTTATGAATTTTAATTAAAATGGAGTATGACTCAATTTTATGAAGTATGATTAAGGTTAATAGAACATTCATATTTTCAACAAAAAAAAGAACATTACAATAATGTAATCTTACATACCTGAGAGAGATACCCAAGCAAACTAATTACACTCAATATTATTATCTGTAATAATTATATATTTATGACCAAAATATAGATTGTATACAAAAATGTGATTATACTAGTAACTTATTTTTACTAAATTATGTTATGTTTTTCAACATAAGTTATCATAACACTATATTGTAGTAACTATCATCCATATTTATATAAACAAGCTTAATTTTAATAATATTTTTGTAAAATATTATAAAAAAGCATGTAAAATATTTTATTATCCCTATGTAAAGTATTTTATGCTCCCTCTTTCCCTTTTTATTTATTCAAATTCGATATTTCAAGTCAATGATGTTAAACATAGACCGATTATTATTCATACACGGTAGTATTGATAATATAAAAATGATATAATTACATTCTTTTATTAAAAATTGTATCATAAAAGTATAAGTTTATTAAGTTTCTGATAAATATACTCTTTATTAGTTAAAATAATGGATCAAAGTTAGGAATGACAACGAAGCGGATCGGGGACGGTTTTACATATAATTGTACCCGTCTCGTTGGGTAATTTCCCAGCCCTGCAACGGCCCCATTATCCAATGGGTAATTTTTACTCAAACCATAATCGTCCCAATGGGTAACGGGTATAACCCCGGATAACCACGTATAATCGCTTTATTAAATGAGTCATTGATATTTTAATATAAAAACAATATTTTAAAAGGAGAAAATGGCATCGTCTAGACGACCCTAGACGTCAGACACCACTTTAAAGTTTTGATTCCTACAAAACGAGAAAGAAGACAATCTAAATTAATCTAAACTTAATAAATATTTAATCTGAAATTATTAATCACAATTTTTTTGATAATAATCAAACGAGACTATTAAAATCTATTATGAACTTTCATTCATACACTATAATTAGTACATCTATACACAATGAAAAGAGAAAAGTCTCATCTCTTAGAAGTTGTGAGACAATTAATAGATAAAAATACAACTAAAAATAAAGGGCCGGGTACAGGGCGGGGAATGGATCGGGCATATATAAAACCATAGCCGCACCGTTACCCGTAAAAACAATATGGGTATTCCTCGCCCCGTACCCGTTACCCCGTCAATGCGGTTTTCCCCGTTTTGACTGGGGCGGTTCGGGCGGGTACCCATCGTATTGGTTACAATTGCCACCCCTGATCAAAGTTTACCATCTTTGACTTGAAAAGTCAAAGATGGCTAAATAAAAAGTGACAAAGATAATATGATATAGAGCCCATTTGGTGACCTTATTTTTCGGCTGATCAGTCTTATCATTCAGCTTTTTCACCAAACACATTACTTTTTATTTCGTGGGCTGAATTATGATATAATCAAAATAAATAAGGTTAAAGATACTTTTCGGGCTCGATCACTTGGCTGAAGCCTGAAGCTACTATGGATAACTATTTTATTTATTTTTCATATACTTCCTCTGTCCCAATCTGATAGTTTGATTGCGGTTTACAAGGTTGATTGTATAGAAAACGGATCATATCAACACTCAAATTATTTCTATGAAATAAAAAGTTACATATTCAAAAACTACATTAAAAATCTTACAAAGTCGCAAAAAATATCAAATTTTATAAATGTTTGATATATAAAATATGTAAGAGATTAATAGTGGTTTGTTTCACATTTTAGGACAGTTAATAGTGGATTAATAGTCTACAATACAAGGTTGACCAATTGAATAAGAACAAAATCATCAAATTAGGACAGAGGTAGTAGTTTTTACTTTACTTTATTTCACATTTTTTCATAAATTAGCAAAATTAGCCAATCCATACACTTCAACCAGAACTTCATAAATTTAAGTAGAATTAGCCAATTCAGTTAATAATTTCAACGTCGTCAAACGAGCTAAAATGTAATGAAAATGTCCCTCTTTTCTACTCCGTATTACGGAGTATAAAGTAAGTTGAAATGCCATAAACACTTTATTTACATCCCGCTGTACACCTGTATATACTTTGAATGCGAAGTATTTATAACACCATTTAAATCACGAAGTGAGCTACTTTAGTACTTTGTTTGGAGATACAAAATAGCTACTTGAGCATATAGTGTTGACTGAGAGGTCCATTTTGTTAGGAGGTCAAGGACTCGATCTAGGGAACTTCATGTCTTCATGTATGTGAACATGTTCAGTCTGATAATTAATATGGTCTTGTTTTGACCATTTGTGTAAGGACCGTATCCGTCTCCGGCTCAGGTCTTTCTACACACACTACTCACATACACCACTCTAGGGGAAGCTATAGCACACCTATCTCTCAACTCTCTTCTTCTAACCACAAAGGAACTCACAAAGAGGAAGAAGGAAGACACTGCTCTCAGTTTGTTTCTCACGCAGGCTTAATTCACAAAGGAGGAAGAGTGTTGACTTATAATAGGCTGCCAGCCTATTGAGAAGTCACGGGTAAAGCAACAGTACACTCACGAGTGTGAATAATGGAACTCACGGGTATAAGCCAAGACAAATGGGGTTGCAGCGGACAGCAAGCAATGGGGCATACCAGATAAGTCAAACAGGTATATAATTGATCAGATAATATACCAGGTAAAAGGTATCAAAGAGGGAGTAAATTAATAGGGTGCAAGCCTCAGCTAATAAAGTGGAAGGGAGGCCTTGGTAGGACCAATACCTCCAACATTCTCCACCTTATTGGTCCTAGGTGGTGTAGAGTAACAAAACAAAGTTGTGACAAGACTCATCATCGCCGGGTCACCCGGAATATCAACAGACACAACGGGCAAACACTTTATTAGGCAACCCACAGTTATCCACAATCAAAGTTTAACACGCGTTTACAGGACAAGTGCTTCTCAGCAGAAAGACACTTGGTACCCATATCCGCGGGGTTAAACTCCGACGGGATCTTGCACAGCTTGACTCCACCTGCATCAACAATATCACGTATGAAATGGAACCTAACATCAATATGCTTAGTTCTATCATGAAATACAGGATTTTTGCAAAGTTGGATAGCCGATTGGCTATCCGAGAAAATGGTAACTCCCTTTTTGAGAAACCCAATTTCGGAGACAAGGTGTTTGAGCCAGATGG